AACTGGACGTGAAGACGCTTCATGTCCATTTGCCTAAACTGAACTTTTCAAGCTTCACCATGACCTGGATGACTGAAAATCTTTACTGATATGAATTCCCCATAGGTTTCTTGAAAACTCCTGCCACCTATATTTTCCTATTTAACACGTGGGTTTTAATTTTAAACTCCAATTCACATTGAACCCTCTCAAGATGGGAGTGGATGTTCTTTAGAAATAGCATAGATAAGAATAAACCGGGATTTCAACATTGTTTTCATGGAATTCATTTAAATTTCAGTCAGTTGAAATGTGATTGATTCAGTTTGTACAATTGTTCATAAACAGACAGACAGTAATAAGTGTATAGGCTTTAAAAATACCTTTTGCCATAGAAGGTTAAATATGGTCAAATGAAAACCTGGTTCAACTGGTTTGAAACAATAAAAACAATAATGTCCATAGACAGGTAATCTAATAAACACGGTTCAACGTGTTTACTCAATGTTAATACTCTTTTGGGATAACCTTTATCATGATATTTACATGGATGTTACTTTGACATTCACCACCTACCTAAACATATATCCATACACCCCCACCCAATGGTAACAATGCTCCCCCAGCAGGGCACCAGTGGGCCCCACAAAAACAGCTTAGGAAGGGCTCAAAGAACACATAAAGAGCCAAAAGTGTTTACCTGGCCTCCTAACCCCACATATACCAACCTCATGGGATCTGATGGCATCTGTGGGAAGAGGCCCAATACAAAAAGACCCCACCCCACAACCCACAGGGCCAAATAGATCTATTGCTGATGCTCAAATGCCAGACATTCCAGAACACCAGTCCCTATTAGATTAAAACTCTTTTAGAAGAATAACAACTAGTCCATTATTAGAAAAATAGTCACAATATAATGGCTGCAAACAAAGCGCTTCCTGGAATGCCTGATAGAGCGGATCTTCAGTTGGTTAGTGGAGCAAGAAAGCAGTTGGTAAATGGTAGATATCACAACTCATGACTTGCCAAAATTTGCACCAGAGACCAAAGTACATTAGTATATTTATATACATACACACACGTACACACACACACACACACACACACACACACACACACAAACACTATATATATATATACATGTATGTGTGTGTGTACAGATATGGTCAAATATAATCTCTATTATTTACACGTGCTCCACAACATTTAAACTACATTTTTAAACTTTTACACCTGTTTGGTACAGTACTATTTCCAACAACTTACTGTATCAACAGCCATTTGTTTGCAAACAGTCAATTTAAAGACTTAACATCATGTGTCACTGCAAATTCAAAATTAATTAGGTTGAGCAGATATGTCACCTTTGCTTTTTTTCCTTTCTTACCATTATTATTATTCTTGTCATGGCAACAAGTCTTTCTCCACATGCAAAATACTTGATGCAACCCTGTCTATCTATCTATCTATCTATCTATCTATCTATCTATCTATCTATCT